AGATAGATAGATAGATAGATAGATAGATAGATAGATCGATAGATCGATAGATAGATAGATAGTGAGTGAGAGACAGCAAGAGCGAAGGAGAGAGAGACACAGAGAGAGAGAGAGAGAGAGAGAGAGAGAGAGAGAGAGAGAGAGAGAGAGAGAGCGCTGCTGACATCATTTTACCTGGGAGCAACGACTAGTGTTTTACTGTACACGTATTTCTTTGTTATTCTTTATCTTGGCGCAATTGCCTACAGTATCGGATACAGCTAAACCTGAAAAGTCACGTTTCGTCTTGATTTTCATGTTGAAAAAAGGCTTAATTGGACAAAAGACTGGCTTTGGAACGAACTTTGCTCACTCACACTGTTGTTATGAGATTGATTGTTATTTATTAAAAATCACAAACTCTTTCGCTACATCCTGATAAAACTGTTTGCTAAATAATATGCATTCTTCCTACACCCTCTCTTAATGCTTAGCTGTAGTCCTTGGACTGAATCATCAGACATTCGTGGGATCTCTTGGCCTCAACATCTCGATAAAGAAAAGGAAGTTATAAGGGGCGCAGTCCCCTAGCGCTGAAGGAAGTTATTAGGGGACTGTGCAATCTCCTAGAGCTGCTTACTCGAGGACTGCACTGAAGGAAGCTGTTAGCTTGTTAGGGGACTTTGCAGTCCCGTAGCCTTCCACACTGGGGGACTGTTACTGATATTTTATGAAAAAAGCCCATCTCACTATAATTATCTGATCGACAGCAACAACAACAAGACCACCTACATAGGTCTTTCACAGACTTGCCAAAACCGACAGCAACCTTTACTAATTTTTGTCATATTTTTACTTCAAATCCAAGCTATTTTTTCATATTTCCACAAAAAACCTATTTAAAGAGGTTTTGATTAAAAATGTGTCGGAGCTTTGAAAAGAGCTGCTGCTGCTGCTTCTGCTGCTGCTGCTGCTGCTGCTGCTGCTGCTGCTGCTGCTGCTGCTGCTGCTGCTGCTAATAAGATTAATAACAAATTAATAAAAATAATTTGAGAGAGAGAGAGAGAGAGAAAGAGAGAGAGAGAGAGAGAGAGAAAGAGAGAGAGAGAGAGAGAGAGAGAGAGAGAGAGATAAGGGGGGGGGGGAGGATGTAGTCAGGATCCATAGAATTACACTATTAGGCGATTACTCTATATCTAGATCTGACTGTGTTACGGGTAGTTTGTGATGAGCTATTCTTTCATAGTCATAAATTATTATTGGATCCATTTCCCCCCCTTTTTTATATCCCGTATTCTAACACATTTTTCCATATTTACACCACAAATCAGTAATCGTGAATTACGGAATTTCATACTGCTTGGCAAGTCTGATTTAAGTGAGAAAGAAGTCATTAATGCTGGGCTTAGAGTGTAATGACAATGTGTTAAGAGGATGCACATTCAAGATTTATTACTACGAACATCTTCAACTGTCAAAAATGAAAGCAGCCAGGATGTGAAACATTTTTAATCTGGCTACAACACGGAATGTGAAGACAAAAACGTCTTGTAAAAACACAGAGGTCGAAGGTTGTTTCTTTTCAGTCCCCCAGTGCGGGACACTAGGGGACTGTACAGTAGAGCTGGGTTTTCTTCCCATTTTAGGTGAATTGCAAGGACAAGCTGCTCGCTCCAGGTGAGTTGCGAGTAGGCTTGAGGCTTGCACCCTGTGACGTCAGCACCGTGTGACGTCAGTGACGTCACAAAGCCCAAGGCCGACAGTGTTACTGTTCCTTCTTTCTTTGAATTTTTTTTCCTCCACCCTTTAAAAAGAAGCCCCCCCCCCTTTCTATTTCTCTCTCTCTCTCTCTCTCTCTCTCTCTCTCTCTCCCTCTCTCTCTCTCTCTCTCTCTCTCTCTCTCTCTCTCTCTCTCTCTCTCTTCCATTAAAAAAAAACCACGTTTCCCCTTTGCTCTCAGGTCTCTAAGTTCTTCTCTTTGCCGCGGTGTAAGATCACCGGCGACACCCCAAATGAGATGGGAAGGGAAAATTGAATTGGAAGAAAAAGAAGATATAGCTGTGAAAAAAAAAAAGAAGGGAAATAGGGGAAGGAGTGGAAAGAAATAAGTATATAAATAAAAAAGGGAGAGAGAGGGAAAATTAAATGTGTAGGATAAAAGGCAGAAGAAGACTACAGGGTGTGGATGAGAGGGAGCTACAGATTTGATAAGAGGAAAATGATAGGAGAGAAGATGTGCGGATATGGGAGTAGGTGAGGAGATGATCTGGCAGATGAAATAATGAGGGAAGTGGAGTGGAGGGAGGGAGAGCCAAGGAGGAGAGAGGTGAGAAGAGGAGAAG